GTTTTTTTTTTCTTTCTTTCCATTTTTTGATAGACTACGAACGTGAATAATGCTGGCAAGATTAATGTAAGAGTTTTTTTTCTTTCTTTCGAGTTTTTGATAGACTACGAACGTGAATAATGCTTTCAAGATTAAGGTAAGAGTTTTTTTTCTTTCCAGTTTTTGATAGACTATGAACGTGAAATTTGGAAATTCGTAAAGTGACTGTATGCAATTTGAGGACCTTAGCAACTTTGATTCGTGAAGATGACTGGCAAGTTTTTTTTTAAGTTGCTGCATGTTATGACCAGTTAAGAAATATGATCTTGGAAATTTTATATCTTAATTTTCATGCCGTAATCTGTTTTGTATGGAGTATTTTTTGGGAAATGTTAACCCATGATCCATAAGGAAATTGGTTCTACTCTGGCCACTTCTTACTAACTGTCACAGTGCCAAAACTGACCTTATCGGCAAGTAAAATGCTAAAGATTCTATTCTGCCATTCCGTTTCTAAAGAAAGAATTCAATGAGAACGGAAGAAAAAAAACATTCGAATTGATGAAAGACTTTTAAACGTGCAAGATAATTTTCAATGATAAAATTTCATAAAAATAAATAAATAAATAAATAAATAAATAAAAAGAAACATTTGAATATTTTTTGTTACAGATATATAAGCATACCTTTTCTTTATTTAAACCCCAGGTAAAGGTAACATTTTTAAGAAATTGGCAACCATAGATATAGTTTTCAGCATGAGACAACTAATGAGCAAAATTACCCTGGTTGTCTAAGTAACTTTGCCGACCAATTTTTAAAAAAAAAATTTTTCGAATGGAGAAAGTTATGAACATTTATCTAAACACCGTGAATCAATTCTTTAAGCCCTTCTTCAAGCTTAGAAACAGAAACTTAATATCCTTTCTCGTACAGAAAGGGAAGAGCATGAAATTTTCCCTAGTAATTTATTAAGGTAAAGTAATTCACGTTGACATTAGTACCAACTACGTAATTTTCAGTATATTTAAAAATTAGTCTATTTAAAATATTTCTTAATACTGGAACTATTTGATAAACTAATAGTTTACAAAATATAATAATTAATATTTCACTGTAACATATTTTTAATACTACATTTTTAAATGAATGATGTAATCCATGTTGACTGTATAGCAGATTCTTATATCTTATCTTATCTATTCTTATATCTTTCAGTATATTTTAAAAATTAGCTTGTTTGAAATATTTTTTTAATGCTGAAACTATTTGATGAACTGATTAGTTTACAAAATACAGTAATTAATATTTCACGGTAATATATGCTTAGCACTAAATTTTTAAATGAATGATGTAATCCATGTTGACTGTATAGCAGATTCTTATACCCCTGTATTGATTTTTGCTATAACTTTGAAACATATCAATAAAATTCTAAAAATTTCAAATAATTAAACAAACAATATTTTTAATAAAGTGTTATAAAAATACCATCACCTTTGGATTAGAAAGTTAAGAAGTGAATTTAGTTTTTGATGAGAGAGGTTATAAATGCATTGATTGTATTGCATTTAGTTAAAAATAGTAAAATGTATTGCATTGCTTTTTAAGGACTCAGATCAGTCTGAAAATCCAAAATTATTAAATTTTTTTTAAAGTTTAAAATAAAAGAAAGGTATTTAAGAAGGATGATATTATTATCGAATTTTTAAGCTCGATATTGTAAGTTATATCAATGTCAGCAGGAGTAAACTAAAATGGTTGAGGAATAGAACTAGTGGATAACTAAAACTTCCAAAAATAAAGTAAAAATAAATATAAGAAAAAAATAACTATTTTTTACAGACTATTTAAGAAAATGGCTCCGCAAAGTGAGAGTTATTTCTGTTTAGGCTGTCAAAAATTTGTAGTAGCAATTAAAAACTAAAGTAGAAATAAATAATTTTATGTAAATTATTTTTAAAAGTGCATCTTCTTATGTGTTTATAAGAGGCCTTTTATTTTAATTAAAAGGTTATAGTTTTTTTTCTTCATAAAATAATTGTAGTATTATAATGCTGCATATTAGTATGGACTCTTGTATGAATCTTAGATTCTGTATTGCTTCTTGCTTGGAAGGGATAAAAATAACATTGCTGCTAGAACTTAACATCAGTATCTGTTATTTTTGGCAGCTCTTCTTAGATATCACACATAAAGTTACTAGAAATATTAGAAGCTTAAGTTCTTTTTTTAAAACTAGATGTATTAATGGATTAGATGTATTATATAAGATTCGTAATGTACCATGTACCAGTTAAAATTTACCTTATGCTTTTTATTTTTAATTTTTGGCTTCTTATTCGGTCACCTGACATTATGTCACTTTGATTATTTAATACTTCATTTTTTTTATAAAATTAAAAGCTAAAAAAATAGAGAAAAAAATAAACGTAACAAAAATTCAGATCTTTTTGATCGAGTAGTCTTTGAACTATTTTGTTTGGAGTAAAAAGTATTCGATCTCAAAAAATATAATTTACAGCTTTATATTACGTAAACAAATACTAAAAAAATAACAATTTTTTTGAAAAAAATATATTATATTATTGTAGACTGGTCTAAGTCCTTAATAAAATGTAAAGCAGGAAAGTAAAAAGCTCGCCTTTGAATAAGAAAACTATATTAAAAAATTATGAAAGATGTACGTTTTTGAATATAATAGAAGAAAAAAAAGAGAAAAGAAAATGAACTTAAAAAGCCCAAAGCCCAAAATAATTTACATAAAGTAAATACTTACCAGATATCCTGTATGTCAAATGCTGCTGTCCAAAGTATGGTAAAACGTAAAACGCAAATTCACCAAATTCAATGAATTTTAACGTCAAAAACAGCAAGTTTATATAAGAAAGTGTAAATATGATATACTTCTTTCTGTTTTATTTTGCTTATAAAATTTGTTTTGCTTGCGTAATAGGGAGTCATTGATTCAAAATATATAAATGATAATTAATTTGCATCTTTTTAAAATTTTTTAATTGTAATTTTGCATTGTTTGAAATATTGAAATCTTTGATTGGTATTTTTGCTGTAAGAACGCTGTAAGTATTCTTTTAAATAAAATATAATACTTTTTAGGTATGGAACTTTAAGAAATTAGTAAATGGCACAGTTGTTATTTTTTAACACATGACTTATGATGTAAAAATTTATTAGATCACTTTAATTTCCGAGTCAGAACTACTTTTTTTACGTTTTAAGTCTAATGAATAAATGTAAATTAAGTTAAAGTCTAAAAGAAGTCATCATATTTAACAAATGACATCAGCAAAATGACAGTGGAAGAAAGTAATAAAAAGAAAGAAAAAAAGGAAAATTCTTTTACAAGAAAATATGTATTTTTTTTAAAACTCTTATTCAAAACTATTAAAAGAAATGTTTTTATTTTTGTTGGTGTGAATAGATTTATTAAAATTATTTTTTGAATATTAATTTTCATTTATTTTTTATAGATACCATACCATAATGCATCTGTAGTTTTATATGCTATAGTTTTAAGTATGAATAATGTAAACGATGTTTGATATTTATGTATTACTAAAAATATAAAATATAGATGAGTTTAACTGTTTTCTCTTTAAAGAATGGTATTATTTAAAACAAGACTATTTCATCAAAATCATTGGAGATTTCAAAGACAATAAAATTGTATTTAAGTATTTTATAGAGATTTTTTATTCATTTTTTGTTGGAAACTGTGAAACAAAATTTATAATAATGCTTATTTTTTTTTCGAAACGTGCTTTAAAATAGTATGTTATTTTGTTATTATTTATTTTCTATAAACTGCATTTAATGCAATTTTATTTTTAATATTTTACTTCATGTAAACATTGATTCTAAAATAATTTAAAATAAGAACAAATGTTTTTTTAAATGCTGATGAATCACTTTTTTTGAAATAAAATTGTGAAAGAAAATTTAATCAGGTAATCTAATTAATGGTGCATTTCTCTCTTTTGGTTTAATTTATGTCGTTCCAGAATAAATGTCTTATTTTCAAACAAAATTGTTTTAATGTGAACTCATAACAAAAAAAATGAATGAATAGTAACTTTTATTGGATAATTATTAAATGGCTGATCATACTTTTATGATTAGTTAACTGCAAAAAATGAATATTATTAATTAATAACAATAACGATTGGTGAAAGTAGAAAGTATTTCTTGACTGAATCAAATTTTTCTTTTAGTTTTTTTTAGCGATTACGAGTATAAAAGTAACTTTTTGACCTGCAGTTTTCTCTGCATAACAAAACCGGTTTTTCCATGTAATAAAATGGAGACGCAAAGAGAGAATCTTTCATATTTTCTCAAAAGCAAAACCGTTGAAGGTTTGATGAGAACAATTAGTTTTATAATAAAATTTATTTTTTTCTAGTCTGATTAAATAAATGCAATAAAATTATATGGACAGCTTACTTTTCATTAATGTTTTTTTTTTCATCATAAAAGTTATAAGTGATTCTGGCTCGCAAAAATCATATTCATTTTTTTTAAAAATAATAATGAATTTTATTCTCTTTCAAATGGTAAAGAAGTTATACTTTTCTCTGAACTGGAACTCAAACTTAGATTTGGTTTTGCTTTTTATTCCAAGTGATGTTGAAAATCCGACATTTTGTGTTATATATAAATAGTTTTTTTTAAATTTTTTATTACATTTTAATATTATTGTAATTTATATTTATAGCAATACCTCAAAAACTGTTAAAGATGAATGCATGAAATTTTGAATAATTATGTTTAAGTTACTTTAATTTGTCGTCTGAAAATCCATTATACATTTTAAAAATGAAGCATTTTAGTGCATTAAAAAAAAACATTACAATATTTTGAATACTATTCACATTGTTGTCTTAAAATAAGTATGGCAGTGTGCCTCCAAAACGAAAAAACCTTCCATTGTTCTGCTCCGAATTACTTTCACCAATCGGTAATCGTAAAGTAATCAATTACTATCAAAATAGTACAACACTTACTCCTGTAACGAGTGGAGATAGGAAACTCCAGCAGATCATTAACCAGGGGTTGATTCTAAATCCCAACATTTCTTCAATATTATCGTAAAACCTTCTCACTCCTGTAAAAATTGCAAGCAATAAAAAGTAACAGGATAGTGGTATGTGTTAAAAAGTCGAGTTTCTCTTTATTATGAATTTAACTAACAGAGTTCTTGCGTTAGTTTAATTTTTTTCATACAGTTACATAATTTGATATTTGAAAACATAAATTTTATATAATAAATATATTAATAAAATATTTCAATAACTCATTTAATCTAAAAAAAATGTAAAATTATCTATTATAAATCTATACGTAAAGTACTTCAAACAGTTTTAAATCGTAAAAATGAATTATTAAATTTATTCTTTTAAGTAATGAATTATTAAATTTATTTAGTTATAAGAGCGAATAAAAATATATCTAAAATCAGAGTTTAAAATAATCTAGCTTGTTTCTAAATTATGCATTTAAAGTATTTAAAAATTCATGAAACTTTAATGAATAAAAATTTCTGGGAAACTTTAATAAATAAAAATTTGCTCATTAATTTTCGAAAATTTATTTTCCAAAATCAATGAAATTAATAAAAATGACTTAAAACTATTAACAAAAATTTTAAATTAAAATTAATAAAAGTAAAACAGTAAATATTAATAAAAATTTAATTAAAATTAATAAAAGTTTAATTAAAATTAATAAAAATTTAATTAAAATTAATAAAAATATAACTTTAATTTTTAAAAAAAAATTATTTAAAGAAAGAGTCGTGAAAAAATTATCAATTTAAAGAAATAAATATTTACAGAAAAAAGTTGTTTGGAGAAATATTAATGAAAATTGTCAGGATAAAGTACGAGGTTTCTTTACTTCAAATCAGAAAGTGAACATATAAAAAACAAAACTAATATTTAAGTAACATATCAGCTCTGCTTTTCAAGTCAGATTTCGACCCTTTTTGAAAATAGATGAAGTTCATCCTGAACAGTAGCCATAGACAAACTGTTCACGGTGAACTATTTTCCTATATATTTCACTTTCTGACCATATAGTAAAGAAACCAATGGATTGAGATAAAAATGTAAATTTAGGAAGAATAATGACTGCACCGTCAGCCATTTACCTTTTAGAAAACACTGTCCTTCCAAAGNATCAGAGTTTAAAATAATCTAGTTTGTTTTTAAATTATGCATTTAACGTATTTAAAAATTCATGAAACTTTAATGTATAAAAACTTATGAGAAAATTAATAAATAAAAGTTTGCTCATTAATTTTCGAAAATTTATTTTCCAAAATCAATGAAATTAATGAAATTAATAAAAATGACTAAAACTATTAACAAGAATTTTAAAATAAAATTAATAAAAGTAAAAAAGTAAATATTACTGAAAATATAATTAAAATTAATAAAAATTTAATTAAAATTAATAAAATTTAATTGAAATTAATAAAAATTTAATTAAAACTAATAAAAATATTACTTTAAATTTAAAAAAAAATTATTTACGGAAACAGTCGTGAAAAAATTATCAAACTAAAGCAATAAATATTTACAGAAAAAAGTTGTTTGGAGAAATATTAATGAAAATTGTCAGGATAAAGTACGAGGTTTCTTTACTTCAAATCAGAAAGTGAACATATAAAAAACAAAACTAATATTTAAGTAACATATCAGCTCTGCTTTTCAAGTCAGATTTCGACCCTTTTTGAAAATAGATGAAGTTCATCCTGAACAGTAGCCATAGACAAACTGTTCACGGTGAACTATTTTCCTATATATTTCACTTTCTGACCATATAGTAAAGAAACCAATGGATTGAGATAAAAATGTAAATTTAGGAAGAATAATGACTGCACCGTCAGCCATTTACCTTTTAGAAAACACTGTCCTTCCAAAGCATTTGCCTGCTCGAAGGACAGTCAGCAACCCAAACAACAAAGTAACACTACAGTTTACCTTAAACACTGGCCTTCCAAAGCAGCAATGAATACATTGATTCTGCTCGAAGGACAGTCAGCAACCGCAACATCCTAACCTTTTTTGTTAATAATCTCTGACCTACTGAGCCAACCAGTTTTAATTTTTAAAAATTTTAAGGGACATTCAATTAATTTAATAATTATGTAAAAGACAGAAAGAATTTTCTTTAGAATTTTAAGTTAAATTTTTAGTTTTTTAAGTTAATAATTTTCAACTTTTAAATTTTTAATTAATAATTTTGGAAATTAGGTATTTAAAGAAAGAATAGCAGAAATTAATTTAATTTTAGTAAATAAAATTAATGTTGAATTAAACCGAAAAACAGGCTCTAGTAAATCAAATTGCATTTTTTTAGAAATAAATAAAAGATATAAATCATGAATTTTAATAAAAAAAATTTTTAAATTATACTTTTCTGCTTTTGTTTATAATTTGTCTATAACGTTGATAGACTATTTTTTCTGAGATATTTAAAGTTTTTTTTTATTTTTTTTTAAAAAAAGCACAAGGATATGTTAGTAAAAACTGGGTTAAGAGTTAAATGAACAAAAAGGAGGAAAAGAATAATTCCGAGATTTGAAAGAATTTTGTTAGCTTGGGAGTTTGAACTGGTTGGCGATATTTGGCAATACAGGGGACAGAGATTGTAGAAACACCCACCACTGTTACGTACCGTATACCCAGGCAACTGCTCCGCACTCAAAGACACAGAACCACAGCAGAGTCATACCACTTGCTGAGTAATAGTCAAACACTTGGAACACGTACATACCACCCTAAAAAATGAGGTACAACATTAACTCTATTAAGGTATCAGGGATCCTTGGCGAGAGCCAGAACCACCTGATTCTTACGTATCCATTGTTCAGAAAGAACCCTCTGGTACTTTCTCAGTTGCATCACTGAGTCATTTCAAATCAGTGTAGAGAATAGTATGTTTTCTTGCATTTCTTGTTGATGTAATTTTTGTACGATTTAATAACTGCTTTTTACTCTAAAAATGCATAAAACGTTATTAAATAAATAAGCAATAATAATAAAAATACGAATGGTATAGCATTTAATAATTTCTACAATTATCTTGACGTGTCTCTAAATAATGGTGACGTTTGTAAAGATATTTTCAAATTAGCTTATGACAGATTCGCTTGTATGTTTTCTTGCATTTCTTGTTGATGTAATTTTTTACGATATAATAATTTGCTCTTTACTCTAAAAGTGCTTACAACGTTATTAATTAAATAAGTAATAATAATAATAAAAATACGAATGGTATAGTAGTTAATAATAATTTCTCCAATTATCCCGACGTTTCTCAAAATAATGGTGACGTTTGTAAAGATATTTTCAAATTAGTTTACGATAGATTCGACTGCTAAATCCGACTTTTGTTGCATAAAAATCGCGCCAAAATGTTTGCGAAATAAATAACAAAAAAGAAACTTGAAAACAACCTCATTAACAAATGGAAAGAAATGAAGGAAGAAGAACGAAAGAAACCAGATGTTCGACGATGAGAATGTACGGAAACGGAACCACCTCGAAGTTCTCATACAATGAAGAACAACCTCCGGTTTTCGCTCCGTTGTGTGAATTATAACATTTCATGCGATGCGTCTAAGGCTTTGTCATAAAAATTAATTAAGAAAAATGTTCAATTATGTGAACAGTAAAAGAAGATGTTTAAGGGACGAAGAGTTTAAAAATGTTAAAGTATCTGAGGCTAAGAGCGAAAACGAACTTGCCTTCGAAAGTTATTGGTAAATATAATACCTAAGATATTTTTCAATGTAAATCAATTCACCAAGTACCATTCTTTTTTTTGTCGAAACGCATGCCTTATTATAAGGAGATTTTATTATTTTTGCTTTTATTAGCCACAGTGTCACACTAAAACACTATGTCCCACCAAACGTTGTCTTCTATTAAAAAAAAAATCTAACTTTCAGATTTTTACATATTCTATTTTTCAAGAAGTTTTGAGAAAAGATTAAGAAAGATTAATCGAAACTAGAATGACATATTTACACAATTTTTTTGCATTCCTAAAGCAATTTGTAATTGAACATAATTTGCAATCTAAGCATGAATAAGATAAGTGAGCGATGATAAGATGGTGAAAACGATAATATAAATGTTAGGATAGATGAAAACGTATAAAAATATATTTAAGGTTAAAATAAAATTAGATGCTGAAGAATAAAATTCAAATAAAATCGAATCAGTATCAAATAAATTATTCTAATTCATGGAACTAAAAATATGGAATGCTAATTACCGTCATTTAACGTTTTAAAGAAACAATCAATTCATGCATAAAGAGAAAAAGAGATATACAATGATTAAAAAAATATGTACGAGAAACTACACGCGAATAATAATAAATAAATCGAAATTTCTTCTCCCCCCTCCACTTTTCCTGCTATATTCTTCTTATGATACACTAACAATTAATTTCGCAAAGAAAGTTAAAGATGAAAATAATTTGACTATGGAAAAACCATGGCTTGAAAATTAAATTAAGCATAAATTAAGAGAATTTTACAAAAACAACAATATGTTTGAGTAAAATTCAACTCATGTTTGGGTAAAATTGTACATATAAACTCATTACATCTGCAAATGTTGAAATAAACTAATTTATGATAGTAGCGTTTAAATTTAAAGGTGGGCATAGAATCATTGAGAGTACTAATTTTTATAATTATAGAAGTAATTATGTTAGGTAAACAAACTAAGCATGTTTTCTCTTCTAAAAACGTTGAATTTAGTCTATTATGGTCCTGAAAATTTGGAAAAGGAGCAATTAAAAATAAATAAGAATACGTGTGGCAACCATATTTTTTCAAAGAAATGAAAAATTAAAAAAAGATTGATTACTATATCAGTAAAATTTGTGTTCTAAAAATTGTTTTAAATTAAAAGTGCGTCATTATGTGGGAATTAAAGTATTCTTTTAAGAAAAAGCGTATGGTAGCTATAAATAATAATTTTTTTAATTGATTCATTTATTTTATTTGAATAATAATTATCAGGATTGCGATTCATAGAAGAACAATCGATAACGAATAAGTACGCGTTATTTCCATGAAGCAAAATCTTGCCAAATTCATCTCGCCTATAAAAAATAGATTCACTTTAAAAATATTTATAAATTAAATGATATTTCATAAAGGACCTAGAAATAAAAGTAGGTGGTCGTGAATGCAATTCATACTGTAGTTTTATATGTATAGGTTGTAGGGTTTTAATGAATAATGGATACGTCATATGAATCATTATTTTTTTCCCTCCACATGGAGCTCGTCACAGTTTTAAATAATGCAAGGCATACTTACCAGAAACAGTATAAAGAAACTGTGCAAATTTAGTTCCAACTCTAAAAAAACTAAACATTAGAGATATTTTTACATAACCTTTGCATCACATAAGCTGCCATTGATTCGAAACAAATTACCAGGCTTTTTTTAAATTATTAAAAAAATAAATGCCACGTGGGAACAAGGTAAAATTTAAAATCTTTTAAACAATCAAGTTTACACTAACATCAAACATGAAAACTATTTTTACGAAGGAAATTTTTTTTTTAAATTTTTGTTTTATTCAAAATCCATCATAAATCTGCTTAACCTGCGAAAACCATTAATATCATTTATAGAACATGCAAAATAAATTAGCAATTTCCATGGATCGTTAAGTTTATGCATATAAAATAGGCATAATGAGGAATTATATGTCCCGAGTTTGGATTTTCATCCTTAGTCAATTGTTATGTGCATGTTATGACATAAAATTTTCGTGTAATACATTGAAAGTAGGAAAACTTAATATCAAAAGTATTTCATAAAATTACTTTGCGCATTCCAATATAGCTGCGAAGCACAAATATCTTATCGATCGATGGAAATTTTATTATTATTATTACAACTTAACATAGTTAATTTTTTAAAATATTAGCAGAATGATAAAAAGGCGAAGGATTAATTTAATATTTTAATGTGTGTTTTGAAAACAAAGGAAATAGAGGAGTTTTGTATTTTGAACATATTTTTAGCTTGTTGAGCACATGGGCGAATCAACATAGACTGAATAATAAGACCAATCTTTTCCAAATGAAGAGTTAAAAGTGATAATGAAGATTTGGCTAAATGATTATTTAAAGCTTCGATTTAATAAGATGAGAATAATTTGAAAAATAATATAAAGAGTTTATATAAAAGTTTATGTGTAAGAATTCGCATAATCTAAACTAAATAACTAAATAAAACATAGCATTTATGTATAGTGAGAGTTATATTATATTTCTATTTCCTTAAATTCCTGATTAGAAAAGGGAGTACTTTTATTCGAATATCATCCACACATACATCATTCAACATCTGGCATTTCTGACAATCCTCTATGATAATGATCTGGAATTTGCAATTATAAACCCTCTTGAAGACGTTTTATTAAAATACATTGAAAATAATTATCATTTTTTAAGTAATGATAGCACTCAAAACAATAATGCACAAATACAAGTTCAATCAGTATAAAGTAAAACAATAATGATAAATGTTTGATTTTTTTTCAGTTTTATGTTTTTTGAATGCATGCATGTTCCAAAATGAAAACTAAATCTGCTATGCACCCATCATTTACTATTCGATTAATACTCCATCAAATGAAAAGATCCGTCAGATGCAAGCCATATAAATAATGTAATCTCATTAAAAAAAATCGATTTTACAAAATTTGATTTTTGAATAAGATGATCTTGAACGTAAGTTATTAGCAAGATTAGTTATTATTCTATTTTTGTACTTGCAATTCAGTCTCTGGTTTTTTGAAAAAAAGGTTTATTTATTCAAAGCAATTACGTGTCGATTTTGCATCTTAATCCCCTTATGAAACTATTTATTTTTACTAATGTTATTTTGAAATATATTGAACCAAAGATCTAACTCAAAATATCCTCTGTGGTAGACAAACCATGGGTTAGACTGCTTGATGCAGGAATTTCTTAGTGTTTTGGATTGGGTTTAAAATTAGAAATGATGGAGTTGCAAAAGCTGCACATTCGCTATGTGGATATAAGGCTTCAACGTTATAAATAAAATAAATTTAAAATAGTAAAATTCGTTAGTACGGAATACGATTTTTAAAAATAGAACTATTTTTCTTTTCAAAAGTGATACAATGTATTTAAAATGACTAAACTGTAAGTTACATCCTTTACAATAATACACCAGAATTAGTTAACAATTTTAATATTAATTTAACTTATTAAAACCCATTTATAATAAGGAAATTACAGATACGATATGTATTATTCTTAATGATAATTATTTACGAATTAAAGTGTTTTGAAATAAAATTACATACATTTTAATAATAACAAAAAACCAAAGCATTCTCTCAACAGTTCAATTGGGTAATGGAGGTTAAGTTTCAACAATTTCGAGATCAAATACAAAATTGTGACAGTTTGGTTAGGTATTGAGCACAATGCTGCTTTTACCTCGCAGTCAAACTGGTACCCATCGATCTGAATGGGTTTTATGTCACCACTTGGAATCGAACCTCAGTCCTTCACAATGACAACTTTGTACCTAAAACTATTTATCCATCGAGGATCGTTTTAAATGGAAAAGAAAAACAAATGCTACTTCTGCATGTATTTCAATTTAGTTTCAAAATATAATTTGTGTTGACTTAAAAACTTACCTTTCTGTTCCAAAAAACTTACAAAATGCAAATTAATACACAATCTCTTAAGCCATTAATTTATATTATTCAAAATTTCATAGAAAATTTAATATTATGGATATAATGGCAAGTTTGTAACTTTCAATTAAATTTCTATCATATTAGTCAATAAATTGTCTTACACAATTTTTTTAAAAAACGTAGTATTACTTAATTTCTGCATTGGTTTACTGATTTTATCTATGATACATCACTATTTAGATAAGAAAGTGTTGTGCGTTAAAAGCATTTCTTTTTACTATGCAAAATTATTAAATATAAATGAGCATGAAATTTTATTATTGCAAAGAGGCAACTATTTTTACTTGTATTGTTTTAAATACTTTAATTGCTACAAACATATGTGCAGTAGTTTTGTAAGGATTGAAATCCTAAAGTAAGTCTAAGACAAAAGTATTGTAATGAAGTATCATGTATACTAATAAATCATACTAAATAGTATGATTTATTAGTCATATCATAGGTTCAGTCAGGTTCAATCAATAAATCAGGTTCATACTAATAAATTTCATTTTACATTAAATTTTTATCTATATGTTCAGAAAAGTTTTAAAAGGCTAGCATTGTATATTGTGTTTAGTTGTTATATGAATTCTTCATTAATGTATTCATACAAAAATTTTAAGATCAAATTCTGACACATATGTCAAAAGTATTACTTTTTGTGAAAGTAGTTAATTCACTATCAACATTCAAATAAAAATACATAGTAATGATTATAATATCTCACATAAAAAAATCTTCAGTATTATTCTGTAAATTTAGTTCAAACTTCTTGAATATTAAGTTGAATGAAACATCTTATTTAACTAAATATTTCTTAAATTTCAAACATATTTCTGATGAATATTTGCCGTAGTTTTAATCAATATAAAAGTTATGCTTTTGATAATCAAAAAAGGATAAGTTCACATTTAAAACTTTGATCTCGGTTGTAAATATTAATTAACGCTGCAGTAATTCTATGCTATATTTGAATCTATAACACATTACAATGAAAAATAAATGTAGAAAGAAAATGTCTATATACAATGCTACAAAACATATCACAAATAAACTATTGTATTGTTTTTTATGTAATTATATAATAGACTTGTTGGTTAAAGTGATAACCATAATAAGAAAGTCTGGATCCCTATTTTTTTTAAAAAAAAAACTGTAATTGGAAAAAAAAGAAATAAAGTTTTGCATTTTACATACAGAGTATTCCAAAATTCGATAGACAAATTTAGACGACTGCAATAAGTGAATGAGGTTACAAATCATGTTGAAAGGGTAAAAAACGTAAAAAACCCACAGATTTTGATATCACGCTGGAAAAAAAATTTCAAAAGATGTTACGAACTTGCTAAGTACGCAGAGATCTACGTTGGCGTCATTGCAGACAGCAACGATGTAAAAAGGATTCTTAAGCGCACTCGAAGATGCCAGGTGTACTTTTTATATTCACAGGTATGTTGTTCCACAGGCACTGTATGAACTAATGATTTAAGGCGACCCCATAAGAAAAGTCACACATATTGTGATCCGACGAACACAGAGACCATACGACGTGTCTCGCACGTCAAATCGACTTCCATGGGCTCTTTACATAGAGGTGATGTGTACCTAGAGGCCACATGTGCAGGAGCACCATCGTGCGCTTAATTTAAGTAATGCAAATTTCCACTGACCCCATTTTTTGTCTCCTCTATAGTCAGAGTCTGCATGTGCTTTGTCATTTCTCAGATACCTCAACGTGATTTGCAACCCCATATAAGATAAGTTTTCATCCTCTTGATGTCTTTTAATTTTTCAGTTGAATTTCGGAATTTTTTTCCTCCGATTCACATGAATTTTACAGAGAAAGTGAAGAATAAAAAAGTACAGAGTGTTTAGCGACCACTCTTAATATAAATATTTTTATAAGCTTTATCAAAAAGCACACACCCATTGTCGCAAATCGATATGTAAATGAGGAAAAAACAAAAAAATAAAGAAAAAAAATTAAAATGAATAAGACGGAATTAAAAACGTAAGAACAAGTTGCCAGATTAAATTTGAAGGTGTTTCTTACAATCGTATTCTTCTTCTCTCAGCTTCAGACATGTTTTGATGACTTTAATCTAGACCTCCTCAATAGTTATTCGTCAGGCTTTAATAACGTTTTTGTTTTATCCTCGCTTACATATTAATATGTGCAATACAATGTGTAAATAACTTTGATTTCAATTTTATCAATAGTATTCCAAAAACATGCATTAAGTGTGATGATCACAAAAATTTCTTCATAAAAATAAATATGTTCGTATTTTTTGCCAATAGAAATGGTTACTTGACCCAGAATTGCTTTGACAATAAAATATTAAATCATACATTCATGGATACCAGATTGGCTCATAATATTCCAATAATTTTCTTTTCACTGAAGGAAGAATAATTGTAGAATAAATGTACAAATTTTAATATCAAATGAAGCAATAAATTTTGGCAAAAGAAGGCTATTAATTACAGAAGGAAACCACACCATAGTAAAAAGAAGTACACAGAAAATTAGTTTATAATTTTTAGTAAGCCTTGAAAGCTTGAAAAAGTAAAGGAGTAATTAAAAAAAATAATACTTGCTATTAAAACAACTACAGCGATTTTTTTTGTTCATGAAAATCATCATTGTTGTTTCTTTTTTGTATATGTTGAAATATACCTAGCAAGCAATTAATTAAAAAACAATAACATACATAGATAAAAGATTCATAATTGAAACTTTACTTCATGCAAATGTCATTACGATTTATTTATTGCGTATTTTGGTAGAAAATCTTATTTGATTCTTTTATTTCTAAAAAAAGCAATTTTGCTTATAATTTAAAAGTATTCTCATTTATTTCTCATTGAAAAAAATTTCTCATTTACCATTTATTAAACAAACCAATGGCAGCTTCCGATGTTTAGGTTAAAAAAAAATCAATATGAATCAGACATTTCGTCATAAGTAATACCATATTTTTGATATGAAAACCATTATATAGTAGACTGATTTTGGACAATGGAAAAATAATGGTCAAATGTTAATGACTTACATTGGTTACCATGGAGAGACCAATAAGGAAGGAGACAAAACACGTGATGGCAATGAAAACCTCCCGTCTGTAACCAACCCTGAGATATTTAGGAAACATGTCCACGATCGCCGTTACGAATCCTTCTATGGCCACAAACTACAAATAAAATAAAATTATATAATAATGTTTAGTAAGATTTAGGTTATGTATTAATTCGCAAATTCATTAATTTTAGGAATAAAATGGAAATATTTGTACCAGCAAAATTATTTTATGAACAATTTAAGAATATCGCACATTTTCTCAAAAATGTTTTCTATTATTAAAGTCATTACATTTTTTATTATATTATTATTTTTTTAATTATACTGAATAGCGTATCTTAATAACAAACATATTATATCGAATACAGAATCTTTTTCTCTTAATTATATTTAGCATTATTATTAATTTGAAAAGTAAAATTATAAAATTGTGAGATATTAGAAACATTTAAGAAAATTTGATTGACATTTAATAATTAAAATATTTTCTGCTTATTATTAAAATTTATTTTTAACTAAGTATTTTTCTAATGGTACAAATTAATTAAAGGAATTACCTAAAATTATTTCCGGAATTTTGTTCAATAATTATAAATTTTTGTTGAATAGTTATAATAATTCAATATTTTTAAACATAAAAGACAGCTATAAAATTTCAAGATTTTAATGTGCATCATATTTTATTAAAAAATATTTGCTTCCAACATTTTATTTTTTAATAAATAAAATTTTTTTTTTCATTACCTGACTGTCCAAACCAAGCATGAGTATCATGAAGAAAAATAGAACTGCCCACAATGGTGCAGCCGGCATTTGCGTTACAGCTTTCGGATAGGCTATAAATGCTAAGCCAGGTCCTGAAAGTTAAGCATATAAATAATTAAAATTGTGTTAACAATAATAACATTTTTATGGTTATTAATATCGTTTTTAGGAAGTAAAAAAATATTAAACCATTTGTTTCATATTTTATGTTGTTGAAAAACGACAACCATCTATATTAAATAGATTTTGGGTATTCTGTCAAAAAGATAACATTCCGTTCCAGAGGCCGTAAAAAAACCCATGTCAACTTTTTCTATCATAGATACTCATGGCAGTATATTGGTATCTATTACTACAATACTTATTATAGATACCTAAATATGAATATTAGGTATTTCTTCCATATTACCATATTATTAATTGATTAGGCGTCATTGACATCAATATCAGTTTGGCGATTTTTTTTTCCGTCGCAAAATGGAATTGCACCACTAAAAGTTACCAAATCAGTGTTGGCAAAAATGAGTTAAATTCCCGAAGTCGTTTAGGGAAGATATCCGTATCGCGATCTGAAGCAGAATAGTCGCGGAGTCTTGTTAACTTCTCGGGAGTTATGCTCTCAAATTTCTATTGGAGTTCTATGCCTATTGAAAATACATATTTCTATTGCTTTCTAAATATTGCAAGCACAATTTAACTCCTTTTTTTTTTTTATTGCAAATCGAAATTTCGAAGCAAAGAAAATTATAGACACAAAACTAAAAGAGGAAACAACAAATAGGATAAAAATTTTTTAAGAATTACGTTCATCAAATGGGCTTAAAAAGAAATAAAAACACTATTTTGGTCCTACCAAAAATGAAAAACGTAGTGAGCATTACTTTCGAAAAGATATGGCAGGGGTTGATTTTTTGTGGTGAAACATTTAGTATGAAAGTGATGCGCCGTTTTTCGTTTTTGTTCAACAAAAATAGATTTATTTTCTCCTTTTTAATCCATTTGAAAAACGTTCTTAAAAATTTTATTTATTTTATGTTTTCCCTCGTTTTTTAACTTACTCTAATCCACCTCTTTAAGCGTTTAAAGTACAAATATTACATATAAAAACCAAATCATAGCAATGAATAAAATTTAAAGGAAGAAATGATTAGAATTATAAATCTTAGTAAATACTGCATAATATGTAGAAAAAAACTAATGCTTTAAATTTTGACTTGATACTATCTTACATGTTTGTTATTAAAAAGCTTTGAAAAAAATTGTTTTGGTTTACATAATAAAGTGGATATAAATGTGTAAATGAAAAAGGATAATAATTATAAAATTTAGCAGTAATAGAATAGATATATAAAAATAAATTAAATTGAATTAAGTGATAACTTAATGTCTAATAATATAAAGTAAACAATTATTTAAAAGATAGCCCTTTAAAAATAAATTGTCAATATGTTTATTACAATTTCTTTTAACTTTACTTATTCAAGAGTAAAAAGTTTTCTGAACAAAATTTATAGCACTGAGCATTGAAAAAAAGATAGTTTCTTTTGATTAACAGCAAAGCATTTAATAAGTTAGGAACATTTATTATTAATAAAAATAAATATAATTAAAAGATAATGTAATATATTATTATTAAATGAAATTTAAAATACGTACCACTTTCTGCAACATATTCTACATCAACCCCAAGTTCGGTTGCCATGAAACCAAGTACAGAAAAAATGGCAAATCCAGCATATAAGCTTGTACCACTGTTAAGGCATGCGATGAATATGCATTGCCTAAAAATAATATTTTTAATTTTAGTATCATATTTTGTTCATTTTAGATTTTTCAAAAAACCTATGAGAAAACACATCACAAATTAAACTGAAAAAAAAAGAACACACAAGTAAACTCACTCAAGTGAATTTATCTTTAACCAATATAATTATCGTTTTCTTTAAAACACCATTTCATTTTCTTAGTAATCATGCATAAAATGCAAAAGATAAATTCTACAAATATCTAAATTTTCTTTTATTCAAAAGTATTCTTTTTAATCATAGAAAAAACTAGCTAAAACCGAATAAACTATCTTAAAAAGTAAAAATTGAAAGAAAAACGTAAAAGAATTTAAATTATGTTTTTAAACTATTGAAACAGTGTTTAAATAAAAATATTTCTTAAATTTATGCTTATAGAATATATAATGGAAAAAAATTTAAAGGACATGACATTTTTGCTAATTTTATTTCCTGCAATGCATCGAAATAAAAACACACAACGAATTAAACCAAAGAAAAAATAATTCAAACATTGAAATAAATTTATTTTTTAACTGAGTTAATTATCGTTTTCTTTAAAAATATTCTACATCATATTTTTTTATAATCATACATAAAATGCAGGCGATAAATTCTATGAATGTTTAATTTGATAACTATTCAAATGTATTCTTTAGAATTATTGGCAAAAACAAAAAAAAGATTTAAAATTACTTATGAGTAAAACGTTAAGACTATTTAAAGTATTAAGGAATTTAATTTCAATATTTAAAAATGACTTATGTAACAATTTCACTTAAATTCATACGTTTTCAAATAAAGGTAAGTAAGTTCTAAGAATTATAATTAATCTATTTATTTAAATCAAAATTATTCCAAATTTTCTGTGATTAAAAATCTGAAATTTCTATCACTTGTTACAAGTTAATCAGTTTTATATACACTCAATATTCATTAACTAACACTTCCTGCAAATTATGCGTTATCAACTGCGGAATTTACTAATTTCATATTTTCTTTCAAGGAATAAATTTTCTTAAAAGTTTATATTGGATTTATCAGAAGTTTACGAAAATCTAGCGAAATTAGAAAAGTAAGGAAATGGTACGAACTAAAAATAAAGAAATGTCTAATTTCTACAAGTTTTTGGAAATTTTTTACTTTTTATTCAATGTATTTAAAAAACGAAAAAGTTGGCGACATTCGAAAATTATATAACATAAACTACTGATCAAAATGTTCTCGCGAAACACGAATAACATTTACACATTTGAAAAAATTTATAGTTTTTTTAATAAATATACGTAAAGAAAATCTAATTGGCTTACATTATCCACAATGCCGTCATGATAAACGAAAAATATCATATAAAATTCACTCTTTTTTGAACAAAAACTGATAAAAACTAAACATTTTGAAAGTGTTTTCGTTTCCTCCCCCCCCCTCATATGTTTGTAAAATATAGACTACTAAATTCAGACTTCAAACCTTTAGTAGTTTTACAGGCCTTCAATGTTCCATAATTTATATAAAAAAATGTATTTTTAGAATTTTAAATTGTATTTAAGAATTTAATATTCCTAGTGAAAATAGTTAACAACGCGTACAATCTAAAATAAATATGAAATAGCGAATACACATGAAATATATGCGTTATTATTGACTTAAAGTAAATTGCTATTTTACTTGGAGCTGAAGTCTACTTGAATTTGAGTTGAGTTTGTTTGAAACTTAAGTAAATTCAAAGTAAATCTGAAATTTGAAGCATTATATAAATGATTGTTATCATTCGTATAATTAGAATGAAAATAATATAATCATTATCGGAATATAAAATAAAATAAATAAAGTGATAAATAAAATAAATTTACTTATAAAAATTGTTATGGAAATCATTGTAACTGCCCAAAGCTGTCATACATCCTAAGGAAATGGCGTAGGAAAAGAAAATTTGAGTACCGGCATCGATCCATACCTATATAGAAGAATAAATTTTACAATGACAATTTTAAGAAGAAAAAAAACATAAATATTTTTTAACTTTTATTTTTAACCGTAAGTTCCTTGATTACAAATAAAATGCTAGGGTAAACCAACCAGTGAAGGAACATTTCATATATATTGATTAAAAATAAGAATTTGAAAGTCTTTTTTTAGATTTATTGGTAACAATAGCTTACTGCCAAACAATAGGAAGTCATCTAGCAATGTTTTGGATTACCTGGTCAAATAGACTAATCTGGAAAAAATTTTGAATTTGTTATTATCTCTGCAACACCTTGTTTTTTGAAAAAATTATAAGGTGAGTGGTTGTATTTAAATGTTTGAAGTGGAATTAATTGCAAGTAATCGTTTTATTTTTCTCACTGTGAAAAGGAGAATTCAAAATATAGTTATTGAAGTTACGTTTTATTTTTTTTAATCATCATAGCGTAATAATAAACTGAGATAAGGGGGTGTTTATTCACTGGATCACCAAACGATGAAAAATCAGTGAAGGAACAATTGTTCCTTTACTGTTTTTTTTTCTAAGTTAATGAAAATAAAAGGTAAACTTTAATTTACCTGTACCTTTAGTGATGTTCCGCGTCAAAAGTATGTTAAAAATACGAAAAACAATTTCTAACCAGTGAGGGAACAGGCATGTTCCTTTACTGGGCATAGATTTCCGAGTGAATGAACAGTATGTGTTAATATGTTGACACTTTAATTTTCAATTCATGATTACAAAAAAAAGTTAACATTTTCCTAGTATTTATATGTTATAATTTCAAGAATAGGTTTGTTTTTAAATATTTGTATGGCTTATAAATTTATAAAGAGCATTAAAAAATAACCAAAATGAAGTGTTCTTTTACTGGGTGTTCATTTACTGGTAAGAGCTGTTCCTTCACTTGGTCTTCTTACTACTTGTTATTTGAACCTCCAAGACTTTAAAACAATATTATGAAAGTTCTCTAGAATTTTTTTACGTAATTTGCAAATAGTAACAAATATGTTGACACTGTCATTTAACTAAAATTACGAAATTTGAAATTAATATGATTTTTTAAAAGCCAAGCGAAGCTTAAGTGTTCCTTCACTGGTTAGTTTACCCTGTAAAATAACCATTTTGTTTTCTTTCTAAAAAGTAGTTACAACTTTTATTCTAAAACAACACATTTATTCCAAAACAATGCATGATTTATAAACTATCTTTTGTAAAAATTCTTAATTGAAGGAAATGAATTTATTGAAAGAAAATGCTATTTTAATAATTATTTACATATTTTCAATTAAAAGTAAAAAGTAATAACTAAACAAAATAGAATAAAACGTGAGTTTGTTAAGGACTTAAAAATTAAAAATAAATCACCATTAAATAGAAATAGAGAAAGATAAAAGCATGTAAATATAATAATCATCTATTCTACAACTACAATCAAATTTCACAGAATGCAAAAACCACATAATACCGAGTTCTCATTCAAAATAAAACCGCAAAATAACGCTTTTGTCTCACTTCCATAAATGGATAGTAATGACTGAAGTCAATATCAATATGAAAAAACAAACTTGTTTTGACTATATCTTGTAATAACATAATAAACAAAATAAAAGGAATCTTGTCATTAAATAAAAAACAAAACAAAACAAATTATGCAAAGTATTTGGATCTTATCTTCTGAAAGTCATTAAAGCACGTCAAACGATATTTCGTATTTTGAAATTTTTCGAAGTCTTAAAATGAATGAATTTAACTAAATCTTCATAAAAGTTAATATTTTTTATTATTGGTCGTATAAAAATAACGTTGAAAAAAATTAAGGATGGTTATAGTCCTTAAAATTCATCTCGTTTTATCTCTGTTCAGTGTATCAGTTTATGATTGCGCTTAATATACATATTTCTCAGTCTTAATCAGAATAAAGATTAAAAGGCACTTAGATTGAGGGTCCTTAACTTATTAATCGAGATGATTGGTTCCGAATCGAGAAATCAAACAAAAACCCGAAATATGACACATCAATATTGAAATAGGTGGGTGTTTCAAAACGTCCCATTGAGAGAAACATAGGGGAGTTGAAATGTGATTAGATATATAATTAATATTAACCCATATTTAAACAGTTTTCGATTTTTCGTACCCGCTCTCCTCAATAGTAATTTGTCAAAGTTCGGTATCATTTTTTTCTTCACTAAAATACTAATTCCTGGTAATCAATATGCGTAATTTTTTGTTTCATTTACTACAAAGATTGCGAAATTGCGTAGTAAGAGCGGTCATTACGGATCATCCTGAACAAACTTTATCAATATATTTGAAAAAGGCCGGGATAGCCTGGTCGGTAGGGCGCTGGGCCCATATCCAAGAGGTCGTGGGTTCGATCCTCGCCGGCCGAAGACTCCCCGTGTAGTAAATGGTGACTGATGCACGTTAAATCTGTCGAGTCTCAAAGTCCTCCATGTTCCCACAACAAATCAATACCTCTGGGGGTACTGATCCAGGAGTTTCCTTGTCTTCTGGATTGGTTCAAAATTACAAGGCTACGGAGTTGAACGTAAGTAGTCGTAAACCCATGAAATTGGGTCGGCTGTTCAACGACGGTTATAAAATAAAATATATTTGAAAGAAAGAAAATTTACTAAAACTTTTATATAGCACTTGATAGATCACATGACTATTTATCAACATAAAAAAGAATAAAGAGGTAAAGTTAAAAAATAATAATAATAAAAAGCATTTGTAATTCAGAATTCATGTAGATAGCTATGAAAAATATTTATCTAAAAGCACAATCTATATTTGTACATTTCTCTTACACGTCAAAAGGTAACCTATGATTTTTTTGGTTGGTAACAAAGAATTGAAATATCAAGCGTGTGAGCTGTCATAACTATAAAAGCATAAACGTGCATGTTTAGAAATTCCAGAATGAAAATTCTTTTCTCACGTGAAAAACGAAAAGCTGAAACAGAGTTATTAATTTACGAGAATTAAAAGCGAATAATTCATATCAACAAAGTATTCTATATTATATTTTAATTAAACTTACGCAGGTTCAATAATAATAATAATAGATAGCTTAAAGTTCTGAAATTTATAATTGTGCTTTTAACAATCTTTAATAGTAATTGTTTTTTAAAAACATAATTCTTGTTTCGTTTCTCCAAGTTTTTCTATTGAATGTCATTTATTTCAATTTCGAAATATTTATTTCTCGAACTTATTATTGACTAAAATTGTTAATTTTTTAAAGAGCAATTAGTTTTAAAGACTTTAATAATTAATTGAAATTCTTAAGCTTTTGTACTAGAACACATTACAAATGAGTTTAACTTAGTAGCGAGCGAAGCGATCATGATTTTCAAAGCAAACCATACAAGATTGCATAGCAATCTTCGAGGGTAGGAGAGCGTTAGCGAACTGGAGACAGAGCCTGCTAGTTTTATATTAATTTTGTACCGCAATAAAATTTAGAAAAGTAAGCGTTCTAAATCTTGCTGTCAACATTCTTTCACTATAACAGATGTGATAAAACTATAATCTCTTGTACAGTATTAGAAATTTTGGATAGCGTTGCACCATAATAATTGGCGTCAATCTTATAACGGTGCCAATTAGAACCATGTTATTGCACAAACTAATCCTTTTTTAAGCTATGTTACTATGCACGTAGTTTAAAGTAAATGCACTTGCACGTTCTTTAATCCAAAGTTGAAGTGATTAATCTGAGAGTGTATATAAGAATTGTGAGAGTGAATAATACTGAGAGTGTATATGACTTGTAAATGAAAAAAATTTATTTCATAAAAAAATTCATTTGTAAAAACATAAATTATATTTCAAAATGAAAAAATATTTAAAAAATTTTTTTTTTAAAGTTTAATTATTATAGAGAATTATCTTTAAAAAAATTAATTAAGTAAATAAAAAATCATGCAATTTTTAAAAATAAAGACATAATTATTTTCTTAGCTCATACCTGTCCATCCATTAATTTGGTGAAATCCGGCTTTAAGTAAAATATTATTCCCTTCATCGCACCATTTAATGTAACTCCACGGATCAATAAAATTGTCAACATCACATAAGGGAATGTTGCAGTGAAATATACAACCTGAAAAATCAATAATTCAATTGAATTAAGAATACTTTTAATACTTTAACTAAATTTAATTGAAAATAGAGCTTTGGTTAAAACTTTAGAAGACGTATCATATCTAAATCTACACTAATGAAAGAAAGATTTTGTATGTCTCTTATAACTCCAGAATCATTTGTTCTAGGATTTTAAAACTCAGATGAGTAATCGAAGCAGTTTTAGTACCCTCTTAAAAAAGAAGTTTTTAACTTAATTTTTTAAGTTTGTTCGAGAGATGAGTAAAAAACGAATTTTTCGCATATAATAAGTTTGCAATTAAAAATTGCAGACAGTTCTTATTTTTTTCTATTATGTATTTAAAATATAACATCATTAAGGTTTAGTAGTTAACTGCACTATTTTAATCAAAACGAGTTTCATTGGGAGTTTATTGCCCGTTCTTAAACACGCATGCATCTTTGATTCTTTATTCGCAAGTAAAATAAATTTGTATGGCATGTAAGATCGAGGCCATCGATTTATTCAGCATATTGAAAGCTTTCTAAAACCATATAATTAGTTTGTTCGTAGTTTTAGCTTTTGAAACATATTTCTATTAACATAAATAATGTTAAATAATCGCCAAATGATTATTGCATCGAGGAAATTGTTTGTTTCTCGTAAATCTATAAAATCAAGCTGCAATCAAATACATAAGTTTCGGCGCCGAATTAGTTAATTTTTTAAATTAGTTGGAGAATAGTTTAGCTTCTAAAAAGTTGTTTTATTATTACTCACACTTCATATGAATTCCGAAACAGTCATTTTTCAAAATTTGCTTATCGTTATTCGTGACCTAGTTCAATTATTACATTATTTCTGATAGTTTCTTCCAACTATGTCACTCGAAATACCGATGAATTGGGGGATTTATTAAACTTCCCAACTAAAGAATGCGTTATTATGAGCATTCTTTAGTTGACTACTTCTTTTGCTGATATTCACCGGTCAATATTGTCTCAAGTTTCAAAAACATGAAGAAAATGAGATGTTTCATTCGTTTAAATAGTCAGTGTGTCATTCAACTAAACTAAATTCATTTATTTAAATACTAAATGCAAATTAAAAAATGAGTGTTAATGAATTCTTAATCACACATCCAGCGTAATAATTTGACATAGATTTCAGTAGACACTCCTCCACGGAAATTGCTCACATTCGTAAAGTCTCTTTAAATGAAATTTCAAAATTATTAATCGGAGTTTAAAAAACTGAAATTTTTTGTAATGAAATAAAAAAAAATCATGAGAGAAAAAATTAAAATTCTATTCTGCCTACAAAGCAACTTTATGTGACAGTGAAAATTTTAAAATTTATAATACCTTTACGCAATTTAAAATTATTATTGTATCTTATATTTTACATGCATGCATGCCCACAAAACTTTTGTGTCTGTAATATTATGACCCGACAATTTGGTCAGTCATAGACGAAATTTGTTTTAGATTTCAATTCTAAGCAGTATAGTTGATTTAAAAAAGTATTATATAGTTTCATGTACCTTTCCAGTCCATTTCACACCTTTCCATATGCAGAAATAGCAAATTATCCATGCTAGCAGCAAAGTGAGAGCTAATTCCCACCTAATGCCTCCAATATCATGAATGCCATCTGATATTTGAAGAACTTTACGTCTGTAAATCAAGAAATTATAAGTTGAATGAATAACTTCTGTGATACAATAAATTACGAGTTGAATAAATTACGCCCTATAAACCGATAAATTACAAGTTCTTTATCAAAATTTAGAGTAAGCTATTAAAAATTTAACATTCATTTCAAAAACAAGATAAACATCTATGCTAAAAAAGGTAATATAAGCGAAAAGTGATTTAATGTTTTATAAAAAAAAGCAGAAAAGTAACGAATGAAAAAAAATTTAAGGAATGGATACAAATTAGCGTCTATCAAAAATTTCATGCTGTAATCACAAGAAACTAAGAATGAACCCTCCAAATGTTGAGCTCCTGGGAAAAACAGAACGGAAATTTCCCTGCTACGCACCTCTCTCCCATTGAATAACATGGAAGAAATCGACTTTTGATGCAGGGAAGCTTGCAGCTAAAAGTTCGGAAAAAACCGGGACTGACGCTAAGAGTGGTAATTTTTTTTTTTTAATTTCAGTTTCCGGCATTTTAGAATTTTGACATAGGTTGGTTTCGAATTTGAATCAAGTCACAGTTATTAATATAGATAATGAGAAACATACGACAATTCCAAAATTTGACTCACTTGCGACACGAGGAAAATTAGTAATACTGTTTTTCCAATTCTACACTAGTTTTTGTTTTGTTTTGTTTACATCATTTTTATTTAATCCCGTATCCTCCGTTTTTTATGTTGATTCAAATTTCGGAAATAGAGTGAAAACGCCTATATCTTACTATCTTGCAATTTCCATTTTTTTTAAAAATTAACGTGTGCTAGATACCTTTTAATCCCGCTTTCGGCTGACCATGGGCTCCTACACTCCAGAGCCCAAGATTAAGAAAACTGAGATGGGCACAGTAGGCCTTGGCCCTCTATGGGCTGTCACGCCACTGAGTTTAGTTTTAGATACCTTTTAAGAAAATCGCTGATGTTTTATAAATTTGTAGTTTACTTTTTCATGTAACGTGAACTTCAAACCTAACTATTTGATGGCTCTAGAAACAGACTCATGGAGAAACTCGTAATCACTTTACTATGCCTATACACAATATATCTCGACTTTACTATACTTGCATACCGTTTCTAACTATATATAGAATTTTAATAACGGTGTCGCAGTTTTTCCATGCTGTTAGTACATTTTTAATGGCTATAAAATGTGGTAGAAACTCAGTTCATTTTAGTTATTTATCACTTCTTTAATTATTCAATCATAATTATCACTATAACTTACTGTTCAAATGATTCATATTTAAAGTAAAAATATTCTTTACATTTAATTTCAATAGCAAACTGAAAGAAATAAGCAAGTAAAAAATACTAATTTTAATGTCTTTAAATCGATTTTTGCTTTTTATTATTTACCACTTTTACCAATTTTAGTCGCCCATGGCGTCCTTTTTAATTATGATTTTGATTGGTTTCGAAATTAAGAATTAAAAATGAAATGAGCTGTTTCTTTATTATAACGTAATTCTATAATATTACCTTCTTACGCTACATTGTAGTTTTCATTTGAATCGGTTCCTAAGCTTATTAACCGTTTTACAATATTTTTCGTGTGCAAATTACATTAATATACTATTATTCGTTAAATGATATAGAATATAATGAACAGCTTCATTCACCTCGTGATGCGTCCACAAGTTGTGTTTAACATATCAGCCTATTCGGAAAGCGAAATTATTAAATTATGATTTTGAACTCACCAAATTTGTTATAACAATATATCTTTAATTTTAAATGTTATTTAAAATAATGATTACTAAGCAAAGTTATCTATGTTTACTAATAGATCTTAATATGGTAACGGAATCATACGAGATCTTTGAAGCTATTTATCAATCAAAATTAATTTTTAATTTAAAGAAATGAATGTCTGGTGAAGGAAGTGCGAGTAAAAGCGTTAACAAACTAAATTCTTTATAGAACATATATTTTAAGCAAATAATTTCAACTTTTGTTCCTAAAAATTGTCTTATTCTAAAAAAAAGAGCTGCAGTGGGTCAGGGGATAGAACGTTTGCCTTTCAATCAGATGCCCCAGGATTGAACCGCACCATTGGCTGAGCGATACGAATTCTGCTCCTGGCTCGCACCGACCATAGTGCTGACTTAAAATATCCTCAGTTGTAGGCGGATCATGGGTTAGAGTCCACTTGGCATCAGTCTAAATGTGGGAGGTTTTGGTGGTTTACCTTTCCATCTAATGCAAATGAGGGTTAGTTCCAGCAAAAAAAACCTTCTCTCTTAGTGTTGAATCCAGGAGTTTTCTTGTCTTCAAAGTGTTGGGTTCAAAATGACAAGGCTGCAGAGTTGAACATTGATAGTCATAAAGTCAGAATTTTGTCGACTGTTCAACGCCCGTTATAAAGTAAAATAATAAGAAAAAACCAACAATTATTGCGATGATGGAGCCGTGATTGCTCAGGGGATAGAGCACTCGCCTTCCAATGAGGTAACCGGTTCTAATCCCGGCGATGGCTGGTCTATGCGAATTCCGCATCCTTCTTGCACCGACCGCAGTGCTGACGTGAAATATCCTCAGTGGTAGACGGATCATGGGTTAAAGTCCCCTTGCCGTCAGGCCAACCGTGGTAGGTTCTCGTGGTCTTCCTCTCTATGTAACGCAAATGCGGGTTAGTTCCATCAAAAAAGTCCTCCACGAAGGCAAATTTCTCCCAATACTTGATTCAGGAGTTCCCTTTTCTTCTGTATCGGGGTCAAAATTACAAGGCTACGGAGTTGAACGGAATAGTCGTAAACCCGAAAATTGGGTCGGCTGTTCAGTGACGGTTACAAAATAAAATAAAAAAAATATTATTACGACGGAATGATAGGGGTTGTTGAGCGGGATCAAGAAGGAGGCTTAGCCCCTTAGTTTTTCATAAACTTAGAAAATTTATGTTTATAACATAAACTACTCACTCCCAAAATTCTTGAGCAGCGTCAACTTTTGTTGAGTTCTTCATTTCTTCTGAAGTGAGGTTGGAGAGTGTAATATTGAGTTCCCTCACAGTCAAGCAGTTTTCTGTGTTCCATTCGTTGTCACAGGTTGACCAAGGCAGAGTGTGAGTAAAACTATGCCATAAGTAAAGAAGTCCCCAGCTTAGTACTACAATGTAGTACACGTTTAAAAAGAAGCATATCACAGTTGTACCAAATCCGATACCTGCAAGAAAGAATAAAATCGATAGTATCTCATGTGAGCAATAACCCCCATCTCTTGCAATATAAATCTTTTAAAAATAAACTTACTTTGGTTTTTATAAATACATAGAATGCCTAATTGCAGAGTCACGCAAAATTCGAGAAACTTAATATATATTTTATGCATTTTATGTAGCATATAGTAATAATTATTTAAAAAAGAAACTAGATGACTAAATATTATACGACTTCGAGTAAAGTATGTATTTTTAATGATTAAGATGATTATCTTGATAACAACAAGATAGCTCTGCAACTGAATGTACGTTGAACCTAGTTATAGGCTCAGGGATAATTGTGAGCCCAACTTAAAAATCCTGAAAATTTCTTGAGTTCTTAAAATCATTAATGACGCATTTAAAAAAATTAATGTCTTTATAAAATTAAATCATTGATATTTTCACAATGTGAAATTCTAAACAAATTGTATGCTGCATAATTTAAATTAATAATAATGTAGAAGTTTACTTTTATCTCTAATCTCATTTATTATTCTACCGGAAAAAAATATTTATAAATGAAAGAAATTCTGAGTATAAATTCTAGTTCTATGATTTTTTGAAACTTCTGGACCTTGGATTTTCGGAAATTTCCGGATTGCGGTTAGCGAAAAATCGGGAAATCCGGATTTTTTCCGGAGCACAGTCATCTCTGTAGGATAGAAAAATCGGGAAAAAGTGTTAAAATATTAGTTTTTCAAAACAGAAGTTTTAAAGCTTGCCGTTGGAGTGTTAAGGCACAATAGTTTGAATAATTTTATTGAGTTAGAAGTTTAAGTTCAGTGAAACATAACTCATTTTAAATTGGTTTAAAATTTCTTGATGGTTCAGAGAGATTTGATCAAAATATGCATTTTAAAATCCACCATGTTTTCTATAAACCATTATAAATTGTAATTTGTTATAGTGCCTCTTAAAGGGATTATATCTAGGAAACATATTAATTTGGGTTATGTACTGCCTTACGCATATGTTACAATTGCCTTTCCCTTTAACAGTTTTACCTAATATAGGTTCATAAAACGGAATCTTGCAAAATTTAAAAGTATGCAAAAATGTTTCAACGAATCTGTTAATTTATAAACAAGAAAAACTGTGGGATGCATATTTTAAATTTAATAATAATAATTTAAGGAAAAGAAATTGTCTAATAAAATAAAGTTTTTATGTTCTACCAGTTTTTATGTATAACTTTATGTGTTTTTATGTGTTTCTTTAATTATTAATTTTCACGATTTAATTATTAAAGAAAGGATTAACTCCGTCATTTGTTGACTGAATACTGAATCGAATGACGTAAGGGCTGAAGTGCTACAATTTGGCAATATAATCCCAAGATGGAATATTATTTCATAACTATTCAATAATTAATTTGTGAGCACTTTTTATTAATCAAGTGACAAGGAAAAAAATAAGATTTAGTCTTAAAAAACTTAAATTACAGAATACATAAAAATTTGCAAATTTTACTATTCAAAATTTTTTCATCATCAACAAATTGATTAATAAAAATAAATTATTTTATCTAAATTCCTCATTATATTACATCTATGTCTTTGGGCGGAGATTTTATAACTTTTTGTGAAAGAAATATTTTAATTTAAAAAATCAATCAAAAGACTTGGCGAGAAAAATTTGACAATTTAAAATAATATTGGGGAAACAAAATTTTGAGTCGTTTCAAAACTTTGCAGACCCTCTATTTTGTTGGTAATAAATCCTAAAATGATTTAAAAAAAAAAAAAAAAAAAAAAAAAAACAGAGTTTGCTTCTTAAAAAAAGCGCGTTTTTCGGCCCGTTTCCGTCACGGTTACAGTTAACGGTTACAGTTAACGGTTAAACATGTATCTGAAATATTGCTATAACATTTTACAGAATGAAAATTCAACCAACCGTTGAAAAGTAATAAGGGTAATCGGTTTTTTATTTATTTTGCTGACTGTACATCTTCAAAAATTTATTTCTGGCATGACAATAGTAATTTTACTTTGTGAATGTCGTTGAAAAACGATTTCATAATTATCCAACTTGGCATTACTTAATCAGTTTTTTAACAACCAATAAATTCGTTACAAAAAGACGATTAGTAAAGTTATGATTTTTTGTTAAGCATTAAAAAGCTCTTAATTTCCTCCGTCTCGATACGCAGTTCTGCCATTAGAAGAACGTGGTGAATCTGCATATAAAAGCTTAAAATAGAATACACTTTTTATTCCGTTTATTGCGTAATACAATTGAAATTACTTGAAGTCATATGTATCTTGATGACGGATTAAGTTAAAAATAAAACGAAGGTGTCAAGGCAAAATAGAGTTTACGAACGGACAAAAGTAATAAGAGGCCTTATTAGAGGGTACTTCTATTCTCGCTAATAGCAAAGGATGGACAAGATTTATGACATAGGATGTGTGAATAAAATGTGACGTCACACAGTGATAATGAATGTGGCAAAAAGAATTGTTGTAATGAGGTAATATTTTTTAAAAGATTGTTAAAAGGATGTGACAATAAGTTATTATTCTTAAAGAGGAAGATTTCCATTCCTTCAGAACTGTAATTTTTATTTCATTTCATTCTTATTTTAAAAAGACACATTTTAATACCTATTATAAATAGTTTATTGTAAAATAAAATATAAATCCAAACTTTGAAAAAAAATCGTGAAATTGATCTCGAAAATTAAAAATACGACTTTCAGATGTTTTTTTGTCTTAATTCATATTTTAATTAGATGATAGAATTCATTAATTAGCATATTAGAAGTGTTATTATAGTCATCAGAATAATCAAACGATTAAGAATAAAATGTGAATCATAGTCATCCTAGTAAATAAAGTCACACAGTGATCATGAATGCGGCAAAAAGAATTGATGTAATGAGGTAGTATTTTGTAAAAGATTATTGAAAGGATGTGGCATTAAATTTTTCTTCTGAAAAGGAAAGATTTCCATTCTTTGTTTTCTTCAATATTTATTCCTTCTTTCAGAACTATTTTAAAAAGACGCATTTTAACACCTTTTATAAATGGTTTAATATTTAATAAAAAAACATGACTTTTTCGGGCTTTTTGTCTTTTTTTTATAATTAAATTTGTAGATAGAACTCATTAGCTAGCATATTAAAAGTGTTATGAAAATCACTAGAATAATCGATTAAGACTGCATCAACGAGTGTGAAAAGACTGATCGTATTCGATCTAAAGTAGTTTTTACAGATATTTTTTTCTAGCTCACTTTATAACACCTTTTTGCATATTTTAATTTGTTATTAGAGCATTTCTGTAATCATATAACTTAACTACTTATTCATTTATAATTGGAGAAATTTCGTGAAATAACTTTTAGTATAACTGTTTGGCTATGTGCTGTGGGTGATGCTTTTTCAGATTTACGTACTTCTCCGGCTGGAAGCAAACATAGATCCTTCATCGCATTCTTTAATCTCAACCTATTAGTGGCCAATTGTTCCCATGATTTATTAGCGATCTTCTAATTCATGATTAATTGCAAAAACTCAAAAGTTTAGATACAATTGAATATCAAGAAAAAATAAATGGAAATCTATCATGCCGAAAATAGAGACTTCTTAAGAGTTATTCAGTATTTTTAACTTTATTGAATCTGTTGCCTTTTAAAATCATTTGAAGGTATTTGCTTATAGTTTTTTTTTTAAATCTTAATTTAAATATTAATTTTGAACTTAGTTGATAAAAACATAATATCTCAATCGGGTAAAAAGATATCTTGACACTCTGCTAGAAATTCGTCGTAAAATTGTTAAGAAGCAATTTATTTAATAGTTATTTTACCATATTCAGCCAATAATCAAATAATCAAGATAAATGAATGAATTCAATGATGGAATTCAAACTGCAAGCTCTTATTGACTGCTTAAAAATTGTTTATTCACTGTTTTCATCGAATGCGGTCAAACAATAAGAATTTTATCTGCGTCAACTCGGTCCATTTTAGAAAATCACTTAGTTCCTTGCAGCTGTGTAAATTACGTAAAAGAGAGAAATAATCTGTCAATTTAATGACCGGTTGAACGAGGTTCAGCTCCCATCGTTGATGCCACAATATTTCCATTCCTTCAGCACAAAAAGAGTTTCCTGTGTCCTAAACTCCCCAATTGGTGACCCTGAACTATTGGAATACGAAACTTTCATTCTCGCATAGATAGCAGCACCAAACAGCTGCTTAACATTAAAACTCTAGTATTTCTTATCATTCTCACGATTAATGGTACCACCAGCTAAACTAATTAAGCCCCATTTCATGGTTCATTTGACAAAACCCAAATCAACTACAACCTAACTCAAGCACCTTTACCTTACTAAGCTCTTAGCTCTTATATCCTGTTAAATTTACTTTTTACGGTTTCGAAACAATACTAATTGTAAATGGTTACGGAATCGTGTAGTTTTGTATTAACCATACTAGTTGTGAAAGCTTTCAAAACCAAAAAGATAATGAAATGATTCTAATAGTAAACTTTAGGATTAATAGGATGGAATGACTTCCGCCGTTTGTCTTATCGTAATTTCAGAATAAAAATTCTAAGAATTGATTTAAATTTACGTATGATACACTGAAATTTCTTTTGTACAGATTAAAAACAGCATCAAGGTGCAACATAACTTGCATTAGGTTCCCTATATTTAGAGAATTATAACAAGCAGCTTAAAAATAGACTAAATTAAGGCATGGAATGAGAAAAAAAATTGGAGATTCCACACTTGGCGAAGTTTTTCTCAAACTTCGCTTTCTTAGTCCGCCTCAATATCATGTTAATTGTATAGAAATACGTTACATTCATATAATCGTTTTTTTTACCATCCAAAGTACACGCCAAACTATACCAGTCACATAAACTATTGGCAACTACTTCAGTTCTTTAAGAAAAGAAATGTACAATTTTACTTTTAATTCGTTCGAAAACTCGTCTTCGTGAAATAACTTCTTAGTAAGAAAACTAATATTTTGTGAGAAAAAAAATTTCAAAAATCATTTTTAAAAGCTAATTATTTCAAGAAATATGTGGTTATTTAACATTTTAACTGTATATAATGGTTTATTTGAATAGTTAAGATAAATTTAAACAGCAAGAATGAAATATACTTTAGTATGATTTTTAGACATTACGGCTTAAGAATATTTTGCCGCAAATCTGAGAATAACCACTCGCTGCGTGGCGAGTCAACAAAAAAAAAAAAGTGGCTACTTAAATTAGATAAACAATAAACAGTCACTTTTTCCCTTTTTAAAAAAAATTATTTTATGATGAAAATATATCAATACTGAAACAGACTCTGGAAAATAGAATGTTCATTAAAATGTCCAATGTTCATTAAAATGTACATTCAAAATTTTGATTCTTCAGAATCTATCAATTTGTGTTAGAAAGATTTATGTGAAAGATTCAATGTTCTTTAACAATTCACATATTTCAATGTATGCATTAAATGTATTTTGTCTCCTCAAATATTTTTAAAAAGAGTTCTTAAAAATCAGAATGCTTAACTAAATTTTGTCTCGTATTTATATTGCTTTTATTGTGGAATTAACTTTTTATAGCAAGTAGATTATTTCTGATACGATTTTTTTTAAAAGTAAATAAGAGAAAAAAGTTGCTAAAAGTGGCTACTAAATGAAAAGAACCTATCGATATCAATTAGGTTTGAGGAAAAAGTCGCTACCAAGTTATTAGTCAACCGATCACTGGCTATTAACTGAAAATTTAAATTTTCAGGTCTAACTTGTTGATCTTTCAATGTTGGGTTTTCGAAGAAATTTTTGTTTCGTTTCTTTTCTTTCAGTCAATCACAGGCTGCTACCATTATATCGCAACTCTTTTAACTACGTTAGATACGAAGATTTAAACTAACATGAAGTCCTTTGTATGGATTTAACAGAATGGATATAAATATTTAAAATAACTTACCTTTAAAAATAGGGCAAATGTCCCAAACAGTGATGCCACCTTGACTCGTAAATTGCCCTAATGCGATCTCAAGAATGAAGACTGGGGCACCTCCAGCAATTAGGCATATTAAATAAGGAATTAAAAAGGCTCCTGAAATAAGAAAAATTTACGTTAAGGATATTACAGATTAATACGAGTAGTTTCAATGTTTTGTCAGTTTAATTTAGCGTGAATTGTAAACAGTTGTTTTATTTAACAAAATCATTGGAAAATCAACATTTATTAGCATACTATCTTGTATTTTTACTACATTAATGCATCCCTTAATTTTCGGAATATTGTCTTTTAAGCACTAAATTATAATATTGCACTCAAAATATGATCAATTTTTGTGCAATACATGCTTTAAAACATGCATGAAAGTGTTTAAAATAGCTATAATTTATATTTTTTTATAATTTATATTATAGCTATAATTAATGATGCGGAACACAAATCTTTAAATTTTAGTAAAATAATTTTACCTAAGTCATGCTAAATATTTTTAGATAAATAAATGTGCTAAATTATAATGAAGAAATTTCAATTTATAAAAAGCAGATGCGAGAAGTGGGAGCAAAGTTGAGAAAACAATTGTCGCATTTAATTATAAGATGAGCTCCACTAAAAAAAGGAAAGTACCAAAATTCAAAACTACCAGAATATGGTAAAATGTACAGTATTTCTGTATCTAGGAGAACATCAAGAAGCTCGTTGATTTTTACCGAAGCCCTTTGGTAAAATTAACAATAAAATATGATTTTATAATCTATGATAAAATTTAGTAATTTTGTTATGATACCTTAGAGCATAGCATAAAAATCATTTATTCCNTTGTTAAAAAAATAACTTTCAAAAATCATTTTTAAAAGCTAATTATTTCAAGAAATATGTGGTTATTTAACATTATAATTGTATATAATGGTTTATTTGAATATTTAAGATAAATTTAAGCAGCAAGAATGAAATATACTTTCGTATGATTTTAGATATTACAGCTTAAGAATATTTTGTCGCAGACCTGAGAATAATCACTCGCTGCGTAGCGAGTCAACAAACAAAAGTTGCTACTTAAATTAGATAAACAATAAACAGTCACTTTTTCCCTTTCTTAAAAAATTAATTTATGATAAAAATACATCAATGCTGAAACAGACTCAGGAAAATAGAATGTTCATTAAAATGTTCATTGCTTACATTCAAAATTTTGATTCTTCAGAATCTATCAATTTGTGTTAGAAAGATTCATGCGGAAGGATAGTTCTTTAACAATTCACATATTTCAATATTGTAATGTATACATCAGCGGTGATTATGAGCCCAAGTCAAAATTCCGGAAAATTTCTTGAGTTAAAAAAAAAAGAAGTTTAAATTGAAAAATTGGAAAAAAAATTTAAACAAGTTTTTTTCTTCTTTTTCTCAATATTTCTTAGTTTACTTAAAATATGCTTAAAATTTTACACATACCTATGATGACCTGGAGAAGTAATTGAAAGTTACAAATATGTCTTTTTTTTTCTTGAGTTTATGATTATAACAACTATTTACTGATAAAAAATGAATATTAATCTTGAATATAAGCTTATAAAGTATCTCTCTGACTCTCCCTTACAAACAATTAAAATAAACTGTGTTTCTAAGTTCCACCTTTAAAAATTTGATTTCCTGAAACTTCTGTGATCAATGATTTTTTTAAAACGTCCGGACCTTCGATCACCGGAAACTTCCGGATTACTGTCAGCGAAAATTCCAGAAATCCGGATTTTTTCCGGAGCACAATCAGCCCTGAATACATTAAATGTATTTTGTCTCCTCAAATATTTTTAAAAAAAGTTCTTAAAAATCAGAATGCTTAACTAAATTTTGTCTCGTATTTATATTACTTTTATTGTGGAATTAACTTTTTTATAGCCGTAGATTATTTATGATACGAATTTTTAAAAAAAAAGTTAATAAGAGAAAAAATTTGCCAGAAGTGGCTACTAAATGAAAAGAACCTATCGATATCAATCAAAGACTCATTAGGTTTGAGGAAAAAGTCACCACCAAGTTATTAGTCTACCGATCACTGGCTATTAACTAAAAATTTATATTTTCAGGTCTAACTTGTAGATCTTTCAATGTTGGGTTTTCGAATAAATTTCTGTTTCGTTTCTTTTCTTTCAGTCAATCACAGGCTGCTACCTGTATGTTATAACTTTTTTTTTTAACTACGATACATACAAGGATTTAAACTAATATGAACTTATTTCTATGTATTTAACAGAATGACTATAAACATTTAAAATAACTTACCTTTAAAAATAGGGCAAATGTCCCAAACAGTGATGCCACCTTGACTTGTAAATTGCCCTAATGCTATCTCAAGAATGAAGACTGGGGCACCTCCAGCAATTAGGCATATTAAATAAGGAATTAAAAAGGCTCCTGAAATAAGAAAAATTTACGTTAAGGATATTACAGATTAATACGAGTAGTTTCAATGTTTTGTCAGTTTAATTTAGCGTGAATTGTAAACAGTTGTTTTATTTAACAAAATCATTGGAAAATCAACATTTATTAGCATACTATCTTGTATTTTTACTACATTAATGCATCCCTTAATTTTCGGAATATTGTCTTTTAAGCACTAAATTATAATATTGCACTCAAAATATGATCAATTTTTGTGCAATACATGCTTTAAAACATGCATGAAAGTGTTTAAAATAGCTATAATTTATATTTTTTTATAATTTATATTATAGCTATAATTAATGATGCGGAACACAAATCTTTAAATTTTAGTAAAATAATTTTACCTAAGTCATGCTAAATATTTTTAGATAAATAAATGTGCTAAATTATAATGAAGAAATTTCAATTTATAAAAAGCAGATGCGAGAAGTGGGAGCAAAGTTGAGAAAACAATTGTCGCATTTAATTATAAGATGAGCTCCACTAAAAAAAGGAAAGTACCAAAATTCAAAACTACCAGAATATGGTAAAATGTACAGTATTTCTGTATCTAGGAGAACATCAAGAAGCTCGTTGATTTTTACCGAAGCCCTTTGGTAAAATTAACAATAAAATATGATTTTATAATCTATGATAAAATTTAGTAATTTTGTTATGATACCTTAGAGCATAGCATAAAAATCATTTACTCCATTAAATTTACTTTTCAGTTTTGTACTAAATTGTGTGATAGTAAGAGCTATAATTTTGAAACCCGGAATTTCCGATAAACCATAACTAAATGAACGGAAAAATTACCTAAAGAATTGTTTAAATACCGCATGTTTTGGTTTCATTAACCAGAGTTACGTTGCTTTATTTTACTTCCGAAATTTTATCAGAAAAATTTTAACAGTACAAAACCAGAATTAACAAGATTTTTTTTCACCGTATTGCTAAATTGCCCAAAATCTTATTTTAAAAAATCTGAAAAATTGCAGCCTAAAGGTATTTCTGGAAATATTCCAACAAATTTTTAATATTCTCAATATTGGCGTGTAAATTTTGGACACACGCCACGGAATTTCCTTTGAAAATAATGATTGGAAAACTATTTATTAAAAGTATAAAATACGTAATAAAGTATATAATAAAATATTTGAAAATATTCTAAAAAGTATAAAATAAGTAATAAAGTATGTAATAATATATTTGGAGATATTCTAAAAAGTATAAATATTCTAAGGGCTTCTTAGTTTGCTAAATTATTCTAACCTATTCTTCTCATCTTTAACCTGATGAATTTCTATAGATTTATAATAAAGGAATATTGCATAATTAAGCTGAGTCAAAAAGTCCTTGTCATTATTTTTCTTACGTATTTCAGAATATACATTTCATAAAATTATAAAATCATACTGGAAATCATCAAAACATAATGCTCATCTTGCGTACATAAAGGATTTTAATGTAATTAATTTTAATTACATTAATTAAATTAAAATGTAATTAAATAATGTAATTAAAAATCTTATGTAATTAAAAATAATTAAATGAAATGAAATTTAATTTTTTATCTAATTAATTGATTTTAATGTAATTAATGTAATTAATTTTAATTACATTAGTTAAATTAAAATGTAATTAAATAATGTAATTGAAAATCTTATGTAATTAAAAATAATTAAGTGAAATGTAATTAAAATTTTTATCTAATTAATTGTAATGTTATTAAAAATTTTAATTTTCCAAATTTATATGTAGTTAAAATTTTGATCCTTCCAAAGAAAAATTAAAAAAAAAAAAAGCTTTATCATCGATTTGATTTGCATTTGCTTAAGTCACGCAGCTTTCTGTAATGAAGCATTTAAATGTCATTCTGAAGTTCGAAGGTCGAATAAAATCAATAAGCCATGATTACGTTTTGTACTCGATGCATAACGTAAGTTCCTATGTTATATTCGGTATTTATTTATGTATTCAGTGCCGAAAAAGCCACAATTATTTTAATTTAAAATAATTAATATTTTTCATCAAACAAAATGGTATTCATGGCAGTACCAAGTTGTCAATGTTAAACAGTACCAGATCTACTTTAAATATTCTAAAGAAATTCGAATATTCTTAACCAAACATAATTTTTATTTGTCTAAGAAATTTAACTTCATACATTTTGAAGATGCATAAAATAAATATTTTCCATAAATTATCTAAATGGTGATTTATTAAATGAGTCTATTAAAAAGTAAGAACCATTCATACTTATGTTAAAACTAACTGATATAATAAATATTTGCTATTGTGAATTATATTCTACGATGAATAACAAATATAATAAATTATATCATAAACAATGAATATAATAATAAAAATAATAATAAAAATAATAATAAAGATTGCCATATCATCAAGAGTCACTAACTCAAACTCAATGAGTTTATGATATTGTAGTAAATACAACAATAAATAAATATAAAGATTCAAAAAAATTATCTTAAAAAAAAACAAAAACAGATGCGACATTATTAAGAGTAGTAAACTAAACCTCTTGATGTATCATTATAGATGAATGATTGATAAATGCTCATTATCATAAATATTACTGCAAATAAAAAGACGAGTTTTTAAAATTTCAGAAAAAAAATCTGAATAATGTGTAAATTACATTGAAACTCTTCACAGAAACCCAGTTTAATGATAAGCGTGACAGGTTTAGAAAGGTCGTGGAAAATTGAAAGGTTTGGGGTAATATAATACTAAGTCACACTTTTGGCAACAAAAGTGATATTTTAACATCAAACTGTTTCATCTGTTCAATTTAAAAAATTTAGCTTATCATTACCTACTCCTTAATCATCCATTTTTAATCACTATTACATCAGTGATCGTATTATTTTTTATTTACTATACAACTATTGATGGTATAACACGAATTAATATTTTTTCCCAATCCTTTGAGTACAATTGTTCATTCCTTAAAAACCAGCGTCCCAGTTAAACTTGCTTGAAAAAATTTGCTTTGTGATACGCATAAAAGGAAACGAAAATAAAAATTAACTTCTATTATCCTAAAAATTAATTTAAAAAAATGAAAGATCAATCAATTCAAAATCAAAGAAACGTTAGATGAAAATCAACAATTGCCGAAGAATTTATTAACAAAGATATTTTTAATCCTAAAAAATAGCGTGCTACACAAAATAGTGTTTTTTTAAAAAACGACACGAATATCTTATTTACTTCCTCCTTTTCAACAAAACCTACACAAATATGTTTACATTTTTAAGCGATTAGAGTGCATAACAACTTTTGATAAGAAAAAAATTTAAACATCATTAAAAAGAAAGATATATTTCAAAATACATATTAAGACAAAGCTATTAATAGTTTTAAAACAACATATTTTGTTCAAATTCGCGATGAGAGATAAACAGTTGCTATTTATAAATTAAACCAAAGCAACGAGCTTTTTCATTAGAGTAACTAAAGGCCTAGAGAGGATTCTAAACTTAATTTATTTATTTTCTTTAACGTGAAAACATTGAGGTAGTGCTTTATTTCGTATTTAAAATAACACGGCAGCCATATGTTAAATATTTATATTAATAAAATTGAATAATTAGTTTTGAAGAACTATTTTACCGACAGAAATATTAATGCTTTTTTATAGATTTTTCAATAATTAAAATCCTATAAATTATTGAGTAGTACGCAATTTAACCACCAGGGGGGTGCAGACCAAGAGAAACTTTTGCTTGAACTTGGACTTTTCCTTTAGTAATTTAATTTTAGAATTAAATACAACTAATTTCAATTTGCACAAAGTAAAATTTGCCTGTTTATTCATTGTGTAAAATTTAGAGTGAAACTTTCCTTGGAACCTTTCGTGTTTTCCTTATGTGGTTAGTACTCTTCGACTCAGAAACTACTTTAAATTTTTTTACCGCTTTTTTTTTAAACCATTCATTTGATAATTTTTCAGTTCTATGGTAACGGTTTAACCGGAAATTCTGGTTTTCAAATTAACAGTTCTTAATTCCACACATTTAGTAAAAAATACATAACTTGAAAGTAAATTCAATCAAAAAAATGGTTTTAATGCCATGATCAAAGGTACCACGCCATGCCATCCTTTAAGGCTCCAAGGTACTAAATTTTACCACATTTTATCACACATTATTAGTCTTATTGTTAGTTTTACCAAAATTATTACCGAAGCGCTTCGGTGAAGTTTTTGAGCTTTTTTGTTTTCTCATCGAGTAAGAAATACGTTAAATTTTATCATATTTTGGTAGTTTTGGCAATGTTTTTTTTCCTCAGTGTCCATTTATAAGACCTATAACGAAGAAAAAGTAACGCAGAATTAAATTAATCATTTAAAATTACTTATTACATAGCTTTTAAGTTATAATTTTTTAGTAAAAAGCTTAAAGCTTCTAAAAGAATTTTGTGTCAACTATATTAAGTTGAAAGATAACATTTAATAAAACAGAGAACGTAGCTGGACATAAAATGCTATTTTTTCGTCAAATTTTAAATTAAATGTATAATTCTAAGTAATTCCTGATGTCATTGCTATTTTATCTTTTCACATACCACAGATATGTATCTAATTAATAATTCGATGATAGAAATAGTGATTATTTCCCTTTATTTGTGCAGTTATACGCATTCTTCTTTCTTTTCTTGTATTTTGCAGTTTTTTTGTTTTACAACTGATACGTAATTATGAGGATTACTATGTAAATACATTTTATCACTATTTTTTTCTTACTTTAACAATGTTTTTCGAATTTCTGTTTCCACCGAAACTGTTGCAATAACGGATGATATTATTTAGGAATTTCAACATCAGAAGATTCGCATCGAACATTTTCTTTCAGTAACCTCCTTCTAAACGTTCCTTCTCTCCTACTTGAGACGCATGATAATCCCATCCCTTTTGATCTTCATTAGGCCTGAGGTCAAGTCTAAAACGGATGGGTCACTTG